CTGCTGAATTTATTTCAATCCAGAAGCTCAATGAGAATCAGATTATTGTAGGTTCTCTTACAGTCAACATTAGCCCAATAGTACAGCCTCCTTCCCAATTCAGGGTTTCCAGCTGACAGTTCAAAGTCTTAACGGTGTTTGAGAAGAGAGTCCAAGGCTGACATTGTCTGAGGGAAGATTGTTTGCTAGACACTTATTAAGCACTTGAGACAGTTTTCCAGGCAATCCTCACTTGTACTTTCAAATATTAAGGCACATGGCAAGGTCAGGCATGCATATCATTACCAAAAGAAGGACTCTAGCTGCCCAGAGAGCTCCCTGCCAGGCAATATGTACCTTGGTAAATTAGCTGCAGTTCAGGGTCTTGTTCTTAAGTTGCTTTTGTGCACTCTGACAGGGCATTGGCTTTCAAAGGCAGAGTCACATTAACCAGCCTCACAGAGCCTGATGTACAATACTAATAGCAAGCACTTAGATAGCAGGTGCTCTGAGCCAGCCACTGTTTCAAGCACTTTCCACAGAACATCTCATAATCCTCACCACAACTCTATGAGATAAATCCTATTATTGTGCCCATATTACAAATGAGGAAGCTGAGGTACAGTGAATTTTAGCATTTGGGATAAACACAGAGTGTCAATTTGCTATTTACAGTTGTCAAGTAGAATGGACTTCTGTCCACCTGACCCAGGCATTCTCACCCTATGGGCACCATGTGCTCAGTTGCTTACTGGGCATGGAATCATAACAAGGGAAGTTGGTTGTCTTCAAGATGCCCTCCCCCCCTGTAGCAGTGTGTACAACCAATCATGTCATCTGTGGGGACTCTGGAACCTTCTCTGGCCTTGACCCTATTCCTGGAGGTTCTGGTTTAGGGCCCTGGGCCTCTGCAGAGGTGATGCCTGGTCCCTACTGGAAAGTGCAGTTCCCAGGAAAGGCCTCTTCATGGACACTTGGCTATTGGCTATTGAGTTTGCTCACCGAGATTACCTCTTCTGTGGCCAGTTTCCAGAAAAACTTGTCTTCTGTCTCTATTTTATGGATGAGGAAACTGAGGTTCAGGGAGATAATGTCATCCGAGTTAACATAGCAAGTCCGTATCAAAATAAGGATTAGATTCAGTTCTGTCTGATTCTGAAGACCACACTCTTCCCATTAACCATATTTCCTCTTGACCCCATGTGTATGTACAGGATGACTGAATGGGGAAAAAGTGGGAGTGGAGACAGAGTTAGGGGGTTTTGTTAGTTTGTTTTAAATTTGGCAGTTACCTACTATAATACAGGTATTTCAGATATAACGTTATATGTGCATTTCTAAAAAACCTTGCATTCTGCAAAATCACGAGCTAAAAATAATAGGGCTTAAAAGAAAATTAGTATTTGAAGCATACCAATAAAGCTTTGTAATGTGATCACTTTTATTTTGTTTATTTTTAAAAATTAATTATTTAATTAATTAATTTTATTTATTTGGTTGCGCTGGGTCTTAGTTGCGGGATGAGGGATCTTCATTGCTGCATGCGGGATCTTTAGTAGTGGGTTGCGGGACCTTTAGATGCAGCATGCAAACTCTTAGTCGTGGCATGTGGGATCTAGTTCCCTGACCAGGGATCAAACCTGGCCCCCCCCCCGCACTGGGAGCCCAGAATCTTAGCAACTGGACCACCCAGGAAGTCCCCTGATCACTTTTAAACTTTAACAATCCTAGTGAAAATACAAGTGGTGTTAAGTCCATGCTGTTAGTACCAAGTTTCATAGTTATCAACCTCAAGCCCTCAGGCCCCGTGGGTATTCATTTCTGTAGAGACCTACTCATCAAAATTTAAAAATGATCCAGGCAGCCTCACCGTAGTGTTGCTGGGGGGCGGGGTCTCTCTTTTAAAAATTTGATTTTTATCACATGTGTTGGTTTTAGGCTATGTGCATATCTTTGTACCTGAGTTCTCTTGTTAGTACAGTTGAACCTTGAACAACATGGGTTTGAATTGCACAGGTCCACTTGTATGCAGTTTTTTTTCAATAAGTGTATTGGAAAATTTTTTGGAGATCTGCGACAATTTGAAAAACTCGCAGACAAACCACGTAGCCTAGAAATATCAAAAAAATTAAGAAAAATATAGGTATATCATGAATGCATAAAGTATATGTAGGTACTAATCTATTTTATCATTCACTATCATAAAATATACACAAATATATTATAAAAAAGATAAAATTTATCAAAACTTATGCTCACAAACACAAACCATACATGGTGCCATATCCAGTAGAGGGAAATTTAAACAAGT